AAATTTTTAAGGATCGGAAATTTAATATGGAAGTTTTTGGGGGTTAATTTTTCGTCCAGCGAATTTTTTGGGTATCGTTGGAAGCCATAGAGATTTTTTTGGTTTTCGATTTTTGCCCCCTTTCGATCAACCGCGTCACTTTATTGCAGAGTCCCAACCTATTTTATTACGTTAATAACACAAAAACACTGTTATAAATGTAATGACTAGTCACACCGATTTTTAGGCATAGCAAGAAAGGCGTAGGTGGGTTGCCCCTTGAATATCCTCGTCCTCATTACTTTCTACGCATTCAAAAGGGACGCACAGTTTCTACGCCCGCCAGTTTAAAAGCAGCAAAGGTACTAAGGGCTAGCTGGAAGATGCTGTTTAAAAAATCATAAAAATTCGCGTCGTCCGATTGCAGCATTTACAAAGCCTGCTAGGTTGCCTTAGCCTGAATTTCAACCCCCTTCTCCCCTCGCTGAGTTAATCTCTCCCCGAGTAAACTGACGAGCAGAGGAGGCTTCTGAAATTCGTGCCAAGCTTGCCCTAGGACCTTTCCATTTTCTTAGGGAAAAGCTTGTTCCTTTACTATCATTCGTTTTCTGATGACTAGCAATGATTACAGTTCAGAATATTTCCAAAAATGAACAAACATGACATAATGAATGTGACCAGCTTGATGACTGTGGAAATAAAAGTTGACAGAGGTGCAAGTCTGCGTGGTGCGCTTAGAACGGGAAACTAGGGAGGGACTAGTAAAAAACCCCAGGGGAAGTCCGTTTCTTTATATCTTTGACGTCGCCGATCGCTGACACCTGCTACATATATATAGAGCCTAAAGTGTACTGACTGCATGCGAGATAGTTACAGCTTCGGACCTTTTTAGTAGGTATCACTCAAGGCCGCGGGGGCTGTACGCCGTGTACGGTTAAGTCATCTGCTTGCTATAAGTTACCCGTAAGTCAACTACAAATCACCCGTCTCCTCGAATAAGCGCCCACGCTCAAATAAACGCTCTCCTCCGAATAACCCCGCCCCCCTCCACCCCAGCGAGGCGCGACGGCATGCCCCACTGACCACTCCAGAAAATACCATAACATACCTTAATGCTCTTTGTTTGTCACCCCAAAATATTGCATAAGCATTGTCTTCAGTTTCTCTTGGGGCAATTTTACTCCCAAGAGAAACTGAAGACAATGCTTATGCAAAATTTTTGGGTGGTAAACAAAGAACATTATGGTATGTTATGGTATTATACGACGAGTTATTTTTGTAACACTTCCCTGGACCTTACACCAAGCAAAAGCTCTTTAGACACAAAGCCACTGACCACATACGGTGTGTTTAGGGCCAGGCGGTGTGCGCACTACGATCGCTAAGCATCATGGGCGGTATTCAAATTCCGATCATTTGTGTCAAGATGGCGTGGAGTGAACATCTCGACTGCGGAGTGAATATTCGTTAATTACGCTGTAGATATATACGATTTTGCTTTGAATCTCTTCCGGAAGCTCTTGAAAAAGAAAGTCTGTCCAATTCTTAGGGAAAAAACAGTCTCATTCCGTTGATAATTGTATTCTGGTGTATTTTGTTCGTAATCACTTGCATCCTGTTTGCAACTGACCGAGAAAAGTCGGCACAGAAACGCTTTGTTCAAAGCTTCAATCATGAAAAGCACTGGAGGTAAGACCCGCGGTTCGCCGAAAAGTTTGAATTCACCGTGAAATC